GAACTCGAGAGCTAGAGCGGCTAGCTCATCTTTACGACGGGCATAAATCCATCTTACTCCTACGCCTGAGTTTTCAATCGAATCGGTTTCTTCATACTCGCCGTCGAACTCCTTTGTATCAGCCATGGTTTATTGTAGTACGCGAAACTCCTTCCATTTCTTTTGAAATATTGATCCTCTACTTTTCCTTCTCCTTTTGCTCTCTGCACTCCTTCGCTCTAACAGTTTGTAACGCTCGGCATGGGCGCAATTCTTCGGGATAAAGATCTTTATCTTAGTGGGTCTTTAGGACACTTTAGTTTTGTTCAAGTTAGCCTCAATGTTCCTGTTCGGTTGCCACTTGTAAGGATGCTCTCTGGCCGGGGTACAACTCTCAGTTGGATCCAGAGTTCCTTTACAAGAAATTTGTAAAATCACACTGGGCTAGAGAGTAATGTCCGTGGGGCGAACAATGATTTTCGATTAATTATCCTGGAGATTTGGGCCTATTCGCTCGAGGGGGGTATTCCAAGTCCATCGAGGTTATGGTGACTTCGGAACACTAAGTCCTTTCAATACGGAAAATTCCATGGGCTGGACCGTCGTGCGAGGCCGCCGCCGGGTTTTACTGTACGTGGCCGAGGTATGAGGGTCGTGGGGTCAAAGATTCCACGGGCTGGAACTTCGGGCGCGGCCTCGTCGGAAACTGTCGTGATTGACCGAGGTACGAGGGTCGTGAGGCCAAGAATCCTACGGGCTGGACCTTCCGGCGACGCCGCAGCCGGATTCTGTCATAGTGGGCCGAGGTGCGAGGGTCGTGGGGGAGAATAAGTTGGAGAGTGGGGGATCTTCTGCCTCACTGTAGGAGTTAGTGGGACACGTAGGGATCTGCCATTTCTCTGGGGGGGGAGTAAGTAGGAGAGTGAGAGGATTTTCCGCCTCATTGCGCAGGTAGGTAGTGGTTGAAGGCCAGAAAAATATATAAAATATGATAATATATATATGTATATATATATATATATATAAAGTTATTTACACCATATATATATATAAATAAATGTAAATGAGTAAATAACTTTACCGGTCCCAATTTTATTGCCGGTTAACGAAAACCTGAGTCACTTGGGGGTAATCCCTCAAATCGCGATGCAGGAGATTGGCTTGGCAACAGCGGAGGAGGCGGGAAAGCCGGAGAAATGAAGGGAATCCAGGTCAAACGGGAAATATTCGGACCTTGGACCCTCATATGGCAAGGACAACGAGGTCATACAGTAAATTGGCGGACTTCGGACCCGCATAAAGAGGACAAACCGTGAATGAACGGTAGCTCGATGGACCTTGGGCCCACGCCTGGCAAGGGCCTTGGACCCGAGCTCGGCGAGGGAAATAACGGCACCTACAGCGCCTATAAAGGGACGGCGCAAGCGCAGCTCGGGACAGTAAGAGTGCGAGAATCAAAGCGAGTGCGTGAACGCGGAATAAGTATAATAAAAACCGAAGTGCCCAAGGATCAAGATCGCAAAGTCGAGACTCCGAACGACGACAAGACTACAAGGCTGAGGCTACAACGCTGAGATCCAACGGTGCTAGGTCGTGGTCAAATTGAACTTAGGGAGTACTTGCGCGGTGTCAGGCGGTAAAGGTGGCTATACATGGCGAAGCTGGCGACCCATGTCAGACAAAGGAAGCAAGCCTACGGGGAAAGCTTTAAATATTTCATGGTGGACATGCAGACCCTGATGCGGAAGCTAAATATGACGGCCAAGGAAACTCTGGAAAGGATAAAAAAAAACAGCAAGCGGGCACTCCGGATTCGCCCGTACGAATGTCGACATTTGGACACCTTGATGGCGCTGGCAGACCAGTTTGAGGAACTCGACCAGCAACGGGAGAAGTTTGAGCATGGACAACAATCCCCGTTAGCAGCAAGTGCAGAGCCATCCAGTACCAAGGCCAAGAACAGACCAGGGTGCGGTGTGCAGGCGGTGCCAGGAGAACCCGGACGCACGACCAAGAAATACGCCGCGCGGCCACGAACCAGGAAACAATCGCGGCTGATAAGTAGCGAATCCTACCCAGGCCTCCAGCACATGCGGGGGTCCAGATCACAGGGCTAAGGAATGCTGAAACCAACGCACTATGGGGCCAACGACCACTTTTGTTTTCCAAAATTAATTACTCGCTCAATTTTAGAGATATCGAGATAAAACTTTACCAATCGTTTTTTGGTATCCTTAGGCAACATATATGTTAAAAAGAAAAGGATCGAACAAATATATCCCATAGCTGCCATACGATCGATTTAGTCAACTTTGTCATTTGCCAAGATAATCGAATAATTTTTTCTTTATTATTATATACTTTATAATTACATTTATATTATATTTTTTATATTTTTTATATCTGCTTCTGAATAGAATTCAAAATGCAAAGCAAAATGTTCTTCGTTCCACAAAGGTTCAATGTAAATGCACGAAAATCGGATTAAAATAATTTTATTAATAAGTAAAAAAATGGGACCTGCTATTAAACATCATGCTCTTCGGATTCTAGTTCAATATTTCATTGAAAATCAAAAGGATTCTAATATTCAACGCAACTACTGTTAAGGTTGCAAAACTTGAGGTTATGTGCTTAAAATTAAAATTTCGTAAAAAGTGGCAATAAGTGGCGATTCTAACCATATACATTTTAAAAAGAATTTAATACTCTACAAATCTCAATAGGTTTCAGAAGTGGACTCCGCTGGACTCACTTTGTTGCTCTATTTTAAAATTAGTTTTCTATTTAAAAAACGCGTTTTAGGCAACTCACTTTATCACTTAAGTTCAAAGACAGCACGATAGATTTCAACCGTTTAAACACATAAACACTAAGTACACACCACCATTCATCGAATTCATATCACAACAATTTTTTGGAACGCTTATAAACTGCTTTTTTAAACACTTTAAAAATGCAATTTAAAAGTCGAATTTCAAAAGCACGTGGCTTGCATCTTAAACATCTGATTTAACAGCTGTTATCTTAACAGAAGCGCACTCTATCGGAATTCCTGAAACGTAACATTGCAGATTGGTCTTCTGTTAATATATCCTAAAACAACTTTTTTGGTTTTGACGACTTTTCAAAAATGGGTTTTGGCCAACGAATGTGGTCGTTGGCCACATAGTGCAACGGCTTACTTTCTGCTGGCGATGCGGAAATATAGGAGTTCGGACGTTTCATTGCTGTTCTTGGTTGGGAAACGCTCAACCCTCCGAGAGGCGGACAGGGATCGCAAATTGCTGCTTCTCGAAATTAATGGGCGACCTGCAGGCGGAAGAAATGCAACTCTCCGCCATGGTGCTCATAGGTGAAAAGAAAATTAAGGCCACGGTGGATACCGGCGCCACGGCGAGCTTCATCAGCGAAGAGGTGGCGGGCAGGCGGCAGGAAGAATCGGACCCACGAGAAGGCAAGTACGGATGGCAGACGGTCGCTGCGGGGAAATAATATCAAAGCTGGAGACCAAAATCGGACTGGGCACGAAAACAATTTCAATGGAGCTGCTGATTTTACCAGGACTGATCGACGCCCTGATGTTGGGATGGAATTTTCTCACCAGAATCGGGGCCGAAGTCGAGTGCGCAGGACACAGCGCGTCGATACCGGCAAAGAATAGACGAGGAGGATGGCTGGAGGAGAAACTGTCAGTGGCAATAGTTAAAACACCCAAAAGATTTGCGGAAAAGGATGTGGAGGGATTTCTAAAAGCCGAGTTGGACGAACTGGAAGGCATAAAGGGAACATCCAACGTGGCCGTACATAGGATCACCATGAAGGACGACCAACCAGTCAAACAGCGGTACTACCCTAAAAATCCAAAAATACAGGGTGAGATAAATGCCAAGGTAGACGAGCTGCTGGAAAAAGAATGTATCGAGCCGTCTAGGAGTCCCTACAGCTCACCAATAGTCATGGTGAGGAAGAAGACTGGAAAGTGGAGGCTGTGTGTGGATTTCCGGCCAATAAACGCGAGGTCCGTAAAGGACGCATACCCAATGCCGATGATAAATTACATCCTGGACCAGCTGCGGGAGGCGAAGTACATCAGCAGTCTCGACTTAAAGGACGGTTACTGGCAGATCCCCTTGGAGGCAGAAAGCAGGCAGTACACGGCGTTTACTGTACCAGGAAGGGCCTGTTCCAATGGAAGGTGATGCCATTTGGCATACACTCCGCGTCGGCAACATTCCAGCGGGCATTGGATCAGGTCATTGGACCAGAAATGATGCCGCACGCTTTCGCGTATAAAGGCGACATTATCGTCTTCGGACGAACGCTAGAAGAGCATATGGATAACCTGAAGGAAGTGTTTAGGAGACTACGGGCTGCCAACCTGAAAGTAAATGCGGAAAAATGCAAGTTTTTTAGAAAGGAACTGCAATACTTGGGCATCGCATAACAGAGCAAGGCATCGGAACAGACCCAGAAAAAGTATCGGCAATTGCCTTAATAAAACCCCCGGCCAACGTTAAGGAGTTGCGACAATACTTGGGAGTGGCGCCAATACTTGAGCTGGTGAGGCGAAATATGGAAAAGGCAGCGCAGGATCAGGCACGCCACTACAATCTCCGTAGACGCCCATGGAAACCGAACATCGGTGACCCAGTCTGGAACACCATCTGTCCAAGGCTGCAGAAGGATTCGCCGCAAAATTGGCACCAAAGTACGACGGGCCGTTTAAGATAATAAATTTTAATTCGCCGGTGATATATGATAGCCAATTAAAACAACAATGCATTGGTGGCCAGAACCGAGGATCAAAGTCGGACTTAGCGGGGGAGCTCTGTAAGTCCAAAGAGAGGGAGAGGACGATACACAGTATCGAACGCACATAGATACGTTAGGAGCGCGAGAGCGGGAGAGGGAGGGTCATAGGATGCGGATACCGTTACCGGGTAAAGAGAGGACCCGTTGGAGCCCCGTAGCAAGGGGGAGTCCAAAGGCCGCGGCGGACAACGGAACTAGGAACTAGGATGGCGTTCCGGAGGATCCGGAGGGCCGCAGCCGGATACGGGCGGATTCGCTTGGGCGACGCAGCGCCATCGGGCCGCCCGGAGGAGCTGAGGCGGATATTCGCAGCACGGGCGGACGTGGTGCAAAAAGTGTTCGCGCATCGGGCGGTGGCACGGGCAGCCGCCGCAGCCAGAGAGTGGCAGAAGCGGCTGGATGAGGCCGAGGCCGAAGAGGCGGCAATATGGGCACAGCCGGGCCCTCCGGAGCAGCCGCCGTCGCTGTCGCAGCCACCGCCACCACCGTTGCCGCCGCGGGCAGCACCGCCGCCACCGCCACCGCCGTCGCCGGAGCAGGAAGCAGCGGTAAGCCTGGAGCGACGCAGCAGCACACCAGGAGCAGCGCAGCAGCGAGCCAGGAGCAACGCAGCAGAAGACAGCGACAACGGGCAGCAGAATAATAGCAATAAGGCTATATTTTAAAGAATCAATAAACCAGCACCAACCTAATCATTTCTGGCGTTATCCTTTGGTCACGGGCAGTCACTCAATATAAATTTGGTGGAACGAACTCACAACCTCTCTGAGCCAGCCGCACATTTACGTAGCGAGCAGAAACGAAAGAATCAGGTCGTTACATCTGGCGCCCAAGAGTGATTGTACTGACCAAGGAAACAAAAGTTCCGAAATGGGGAACTCCTGGATTTATAATCTCAGGAAGGAGGAAAAGAACTGGAGGGCTCAGTCGAGTCGATGAGGAAGACTCTGGGAGACTTCGTCGACCAGATGGCAGAGGAGCCGGACATCGACGATTTGGTAACGGGCCTGGAAAAGAAATTTCGGAAAATGCCCACGCCAAAATTCAAGCTCACAACCGCAAGTGCCGAGGGCCTGATAGCGAGCTTGGATGTGTTGAGCATCGCAAGCCACGCAAGCTGGCAGCGGGAGAATAGCCGGGAAAGAAAGGAGAGTTCCAGGACGCACACACAGGACTACGCGAAGGTGGCCAATCAGGTCCGGGAGTAGAATTTCCGCTACGACTGAAACGACAAGCCGCTGGAATTTTTGGAGCAAGTAGAGTGGTCAGTCGTGACTTACGGTCTCGACATAAACCAGATCCCACGAGCAATGCCGGAAAACAATCCCCGCATGCAGCAAGGGCAGAGCCACCCAGAACCAAGGCCAAGATCAGACCAGGGTGCGGTGTGCAGGCGGTGCGCGGCGGATACGTAGCAAATCCTACCCAGGCCTGCCGCAGATGCGGGGGTCCAGACCACTGGGCGAAGGAATGCCGAAACCAACGGCTTACGTTCTGCTGGCGATGCGGAAAAATAGGAGTTCGGACGGTTCAGTGCTGTTCTGGGTGGGGAAACGCCAAGTGACCCCAGCCTCCGAGGGGCGGCCAGGGATCGCAAGGTGCTACCTCTCGAAATTAATAGGCGACCTGCAGGCGGAAGAAATGCAACTGTCCGCCACGGTGCTCATAGGTGAAAGTAAAATTAAGGCCACGGTGGATACGGGCGAGTTTCATCAGCAAAGAGCTGGCGGACAGGCTGCAGGCGGCAGGAAGGGTCGGACCCACGAGAAGGCATGTACGGATGGCAGACGGTCGCTGCGGGGAAATAAAATCACAGCTGTAGACCAAAATTGGACTGGTCACGAAAACAATTTTAATGGAGGTGCTGATTTCGCCAGGACTGATCGACGCCCTGGTGTTGGGACGGAATATTCTCGCCAGAATCGGGGCCGCTGGAGGGGAAACTGTCGGCGGAAAAGGATGTGGAGGGGTTTCTACAGGCCGAGTTGGAAAAACTGGAAGGCAGAAATGGAACATCCAACGTGGCCGTACATAGGATCACCATGAAGGACGACCAATCAGTCAAACCAATCAAACATCAATGCCAAGGTAGACGAGCTACTGGAAAAAGGATGCATCGAGCAGTCTAGGAGTCCCTACAGCTCGCCAATAGTCATGGTGAGGAAGAAGACTGGGAAGTGGAGGCTGTGTGTAGATTTCCAATAAACGCGAGGTCCGTAAAGGACGCACACCCAATGCCGATGATAAATTACAGTCTGGACCAATTGCGGGAGGCGAAGTACATCAGCAGTCTCGACATAAAGGACGGCTACTGGCAGATACCTTTGGAGACTGACAGCAGGCAGAAATGCCTGACAGCAGAAATGATGCCGTACGCTTTCGCGTATCAGGACGATATTATCGTCATCGTAAAACCTGAAGGAAGTGTTCAGGAGACTAGGGGCTGCCAACCTAAATGTAAACCCTGAAAAGTGAAAGTTTTTCAGAAAGGAGCTGCAACACTTGGGTCATAGCATAACAGACCAAGGCATCGGAACAGACCCAAAAAAGGTATCAGCAATTGCATTAATAAAACCCCCGGCCAACGTTAAGGAGCTGCCACAATACTTGGGATGGGCGTCGTGGTACAGGCGTTTTGTGCCAGATTTTGCAACGCTGGTGCACCCGTTGAACACCCTGCTCCGAAAGAGCACAAAATGGGAATGGGCAGATGACCATCAACAGGCTTTTGAAGCTGTCAAAGCCAGGTTAATCGCAGACCCAATCTAAGCGTGCCCCGATTTTAGGAAGACATTTGTGCTGCAGACCTACGCCGGCGATTACGGGCTCGGTGCCATTCTCACCCAGAATTCCGACCAAGGCGAGAGGGTGATCTCGTACTCCAGCCGGTCCCTGAATGGATCAGAGAGAAATTTCTCAGCGACTGAGAAGGCATGCCTGGCAATCGTGATGCCCATACGGAAGTTAAGGCCGTACTTGGAGGGCTACCACTTTAAAGTAATCACGGATCACATGGTACTGAAATAGTTGAATAGCATCGAGAGCTCAACCGGAAGAATCACACGATGGGCGCTGGAACTGCGACAATATGACTTTGAGATCGCGTACAGAAAGGGCCACAGGCGAGTGTAACTGGATAGGGATATGTGGAGCAAGATAGCCCAAAATCCCCAAAAATATCCAGACTACATGACGGAAGCCGACCAGCTATATCGCCACATACCTCACAGAGCGCGCAACGAGGATGTCACATCATGGAGGCTGTGCGTGATAACGGGGTCCAGACGGCAGGCAATGTCGGAGAACCACACCTTACCGACAGCCGGTCACATAGGCAGTCGGAAGACAATTGCCACGGTTGCAGCCAGAATGCCGGGAATGTTCCGCGACATAAGAAAATATGTGCAAAACTGCGAGAGCTGACTGCGGTACAAGCCAAGACAGCTACAGGCTGCCGGAAAAATGCTAACCCAATTGCCTGAGGAGCCGCTCCAAACACGGGAATTCTATGCTACTGGTGCTGGTAGATAGGTTCTCCAAGTGGACCGAAATGGTGCCAATTTTTTTTTTTTTTTTTTTTTTCGCGCGGAGTCCCACGGCCCACTTACCCGCCCAACCGACCGAGGGGCGCAGCCGTGTATCGTACGGCACGATTCGCGATAGGATAGACGCGAGATAGGAAAATAAAGGTAAAGGTCCGGGGAAAAAAGTAATAGTTAGATCAATCTTGTGCCAATGAAGCAAGTATTAATCGTTTTAGGAGCGGCATAGAGTCAAGATTTGATATTACAGGAAAAAGTCTATTATAGTCAGAACATAATACTCTGAAAGGCTCATGCAAGGCATAGTTAGATCTACAATGATTTAAAATTAGGGGAATATAATTTCTAGTTAATCTACTTGGCACAGAAAAGTTTAGCCGACTTAACAAGTCGGGGCAGTCAATATAACCATGTATAAGGTTATAAATAAAGATAGTACCAAGCATCGTTCTACGGTTGGCTAGGGATGGTAAATTAATCAAAAGAAGTCTACTAGAATAAGAAGGTAAGATAAGATTTGCATCCCAGTTTAGGCGCCGTAAAGCAAAAAGAAGGAAGTTTTTTTGTACAGATTCAATACGACCAATATGTATTCCGTATTGTGGACTCCAGACGGGAGACCCATACTCCAGAATCGGACGGACTAGCGAAATAAATAAAGTTTTAGTCAAATAAGGATCATCGAATTCTTTTGACCACCTTTTAATAAATCCAAGCACTCCTCTGGCTTTATTAACCATGGACGAAATGTGATTAGAAAATTTTAGTTTAGGGTCCAAGAGAACGCCAAGATCGTTTACAAGAGTTATTCTAAGAGCTGCCACTTAACGTGTATGTCGCGTATATCGGATTGGCCCGATAAAAAGTCATCAGCTTGCACTTGGAGCCGTTTAAATTTAGTAAATTATCTCGGCACCAGTTTTGAAAATTATCTAGATCGGATTGCAAGTCTAAATGGCAGGAAAAGTCTAAATGGCAGGAAATGCGTAGATCAACCACGGAAACGCTGGAAAAAGCGATCCGTGAGCGGATCCTCGCAAGATACGGCGAACCCAAGGTGCTGATCACGGACAATGGTGTTCAATTCACCAGAAGGGCATTTAAAAAATTCCTGTGCGAGTTAGGCGCCCATGGAAACCAAACATCGGGGACACAGCCTGGGCCAAGGAAGACCATCTGTCCAAGGCAGCAGAAGGATTCGCGGCGAAATTGGCACCAAAATACAAAGGGCCATTTAAAAAACTAAATTTTAATTCGCCAGTTATATGCAATTTGCGGCATATAAAAACAAGCAAGGAAAAAACCACCCACAACCACAAAGCATTGGTGGCACACAGTACCTTATTCAAAAAGAGGGAGAGGACGATACGCGGTATCGAACGCACACAGATGCATAAGGGGCGCAAGAGCGGGAGAAAAGGACCCGTCGGAGCCCGTAGCAAGGGAGAGTCCAAAGTCCGTCGCGGACCACGGAACCAAGGACGCAAGGAAACCGAGGTTTCGTCAGCGCGCGACCTGCACAAGACGGGCCTATTCAAATCAGGTCGCCACCATGTACGCAAGGAGCAACAGCAAGTCATCAAGGGGAGAGGTGAGGGGAAGCGGCACAGGGCAAGAGCCAGCGGGGAAATGGAGGCGGCACTCCGGTTCCGCACTCCAGCTGCTGGCGTCCCCGCTGGTTTCGCGATCCCTTCCCAGACGTCGAGTTGGCATCGGAGCGTGAGGCCGGCGTCCCTCCGGCGGGGCAGGAAGCCGACGCCGAGGCTATCGCTTTGTCCTCATCGGAGGAGGAGGCCAGGGGGGACTGAGACAGTGAGTCCTGAGGTTTCCACGGACGAGGACGACGAGCCAGGTCGGGCGGCGAAGGCCCGGATTCGGGCGAATCCGGTTGGGAGACGCGACGTCGTCGGGGAGGTCGGAGGAGCTGCGACAGATTTACTTGGCGAGGGCGGACGTTGTGCGGTTGGCGTTCGCTGAGCGCCCTCCGCCGCAGTCGTCTCCACCGCCACCACAGTCGCCACCGGAGCAGTTTCCGCCACCGCAGCCGCCGAACAAACTAATGATTATAATAATATTAAACTTAAATAACTACTGCTTATATTTTTTGTGTATTGTATGATACTACGTGCCCTAAGAAACTGGTTTCTTTTATGAAGAATTTTTCATGTTTGCTTTAAATAAATTGTTTATTATTTTCAGCAAGACTTGATAATGCTGTTTAATTGAGTCGGAGAATATAATTATATCGTCCATGTAAACGTGACAAATTTTCCCAAATTGTTCCCTTAATATGTCGTCCATTGCTCTTTGAAAAATTCATAGCATTCGTTAGACCAAATGTCATTCTTAAAAATGATAGAAAATCAGGCTTTTTCAATATCGGAGTCTTTTATCAAGATTTGATCAAAACCGGACTCCAGGTCGATTGTTGAAAAGACTTTTGCCTTTCCTAAATTTGCTAAGATCACTGATAGATCCTGCATGGGATATATATCTGGAACGGTTTTCTCGATAAGTTTTTAATAGGCAATTACTAATCTTAACTTGGGGCTTCCGTCTTCATTTTGTCCCTTTTTTGGGACCACTAAGACGGGTGAGATGTATGAGCTTCTACTTGGCCTTATTATTTGTTTTTTTTCCGCGCGGAGTCCCACGGCGACTTACCC